GTCCTTTTCAAATAGTTGTGCTTGTCAGACAATTTGCTTAGAACACACCTTCGATTTTTTGTAATAGAATAGAATAAACATCATTTTTACCTATATAAAATCATTCTGAACAAAAGGGAGAAAAAAAATTAAGTAGCTTTATAAATAATTTTGTCACAATAATAACAGTCTTCGTTATTTGTTTTTTGCAATTGTCAATAGTGAATAATTATTTCTCCTAAACGTTGTTTAATTTTGATTTAAATGCAGAATTTGGTAGCAAGATCGTGTCTAGAAATTGGCTTTTATGGATTGTACATTTATCTTAAGCCTCCCAGTCTGAGGCCTTTGCACATCCTCTCTGTCATTCGGTAACACATCAGTGAAGATAGCTTTACATCTACTGCCACCTAGCGGACAGTGAAACAGTTGAACATCTGTGAACATCTGTGGCTAATGTTGAAGAAGTGAGTACACTGAGCCCAATGTTTCTTGCCAGTCATCTGGTGGTCATTTTATAGAGATTCATAAAATGTGTCATGCTTTTATTTTTTTCAATTTTAAAGACTATGTCCTACTGTTAAGCAAATTAGATTATCACATTAGACGATCAAAAGTGGACATTTTAAGTACAAATGTGAGTGTCCTATCCTTGGTAGCGCCATTACTGCATCTATTTTCCTTTCTGTCTGTCTGTCTGTCTGTCTGTCTGTCTGTCTGTCTGTCTGTCTGTCTGTCTGTCTGTCTGTCTGTCTGTCTGTCTGTCTAGCCAGTTGAGGTGGCTCAGGCATTTGGTGAGGATGCCTCCTCCAGGTTGCCATCCTCAGGTGTCCTGGAAATATCCCACCAGGAGGAAACCTAAAGAGGGATCCAGGACATGCTGGAGGAGCTGTGTTTCTCGGCTGATCTGGGAACGACTTATTCCTCAGGAGGAGCTGGTCCAAGCAGCTGAAGAGAAGGAAGTCAAAGGATTCTCTGCTTTGGCTGCCAACCTTACCCTCTATTGGAATAAGCAGAAGACAAAGAATAGATGGATGAAAACTCGTCACGATCCTGATTTGTTCATAAGATTGTGCCAAAGCAACACTGTGAAAATTGCTTTTGCTACAACAAAATAGATAGATAAAACACTGCAGTCATAATGGGAGTGAATTGAAGTATACAACACAGTACTAAAAATCATTATTTCACATCCAAAATCAAGTGGTACACACTGTCACTTAGATCATCATTGATTACACACACACACGCACGCACGCACCAACGCAGCCACTGCTCCACATCAGTGAAAGGTGAGATTCACATGAGAGAAATTGTTCAATTTGGAAGACGCTTAATATATATTTAAATATTAAAAATGCATCATTTGCTTGACAGATTTGATCACCTGATCAGCATATTTTTATGTAATGACTCAACCAATGAAGTGAGGACTTTAAGTTGTGCAGGTAATGTCTACTTTGCACTCAAAAGAGTGGATGATTTTCAGGGATGTGAAATGAACACAAAAACATGACCAAAACCAATAGAGAAATGCATGGAAACAATATGTGCGAAGGCATTCTCATTCTCTAAGAATAACTGAGGAGCTGATTCTGTTCATTTGGTCATTTGATGAACACAAATGACCAAATGTTAAGATCATTAAATTAGCATTTGTGAGAACTTTACTTCTGATCCAGGAAATGCACTAAACTACGTTAAAATCTCCTCCAACACTGGAAAATTTTTAATAATGAGATTCCCCCGACTTTGTGTTTCTTATCTAGACGCATAATCACTAGAATTGTCCTGAATTTCAGGCTTTTACCCTTAAAGAGTGTGCTGTAATAACACAGGACCGCTAGAAGTAGTTGTCTTAGTTACTATGTTCACTGTTCTATGAGTAATGCTTGCAGTAGCCATAACCCTATCTATTATTTTGCAGTCTGCAGAGTAGTCATAACAGTTGCAGAGCATACCAAATCAAGTGTATCTCGGCTGATTTTGTGTGAGCTTAAGAATTAGATTTAACGAGAAGGCAGCGCAGCCACAGAAAATGTCGGGTTTCCGTTCACATTATTTCTTATCGCTTCAATCAGAGAAGTTAACTTGAGGGGAAATTAGAATAAACTGCCGTTTGGTTGCGCAACGCGTTTTTTTCTGAGACATTTCCACAAGGGGGCGGTAGAAGGCAGCGACATCTCCAGAGCCCCGGACAAAGACCGGACGTTGTACGAGCTGAGCTTTAAAAGTAAAAACACAGCGACAAGTTGAAAGGGAGTAAGAAATGGAACTGCTACTTACTACCAGTTTTGGAAATTTAAGTTGCATTAAAATTTCTCGGACAATAAACTTCCTTGAAGGTCACAACCTCATTGCAAAAACAAAACTCACTCTCTAAATCAGATTTCTTCAAGCTCATTTGTTTCAAATTGAATTTGAAACCTTTTAATTTGAAAGTCATTCCTCGGAAGTGCTGTTGTTTGGCCCGCTAGCTTGCTTTACAGTGAAATAAAAACCAAGCTAAGAGCAGGCAGGGCTTCGTGGGATGGGAACAGAGCAGTGCCTCCGAGTGTTACCAGGCTGTGACAGTTTATTACAAGTGAAAACACCCAGAGGAGAACCATTAGAGCCGATGAGGACCAGAAGAGAGACGGACGGTCAGGACACGGGAGCGCTAATGGGAGCGGTGAAGTGAGAAGAGTCCAAGAGCGCCGACTGTGTCAGGATCAAAAGGCACCAAAGTAAGTTTTCCGAATAGAGTTTATGAATTTAGAAGTTGATAAAAAGTGCCGCCGTTTTTATTTGGGGGCGGGGGGCATTTCGCCCTGGAAGAGTGTGATAATTCTCCGCAGCTGTGAGAGCATTGTGGTCTCGGAGGCAGGAACGCAGCGGGACTTCTGGTCAGATCAGATTTCACGTCCCCCCCCAGGCCCCCTCTTTGCTTCAGAAATCACCTCTGGTCGTCCCGACTGGGGCCGACCAGGCTGAAATCACTGCATCACGGAGAAAACGGACGAAGAAAGAGGGGGAAGTAAAACTTTTTATTGATCTGATTGAAGAGTGGTGATGCACGCGCAGGGCGGAGAGGACGCGCAGCTGCGGTGACAGCTATGGAGGGGGGCGGGGCTCACAGTAACAGTACCGAGAGGAGAAACATGCCGAGGAATATGGTGGTTGGAGATGTTTCAGCTCCCGGAGCTTTGCCACGTACGGGCTGCAGGAAATTTGATCTCCCGAGGTGCCCGCGCTCGTACCCGCCTCCCCTGTTAACGCAGGTACCGGGGCCAGCGGCGTGCTGGTTTCACTGTGGGCTGACGCAGACACAGCTGCGGGAGTTTACTTACACTTAATGAGGCCCTAAAAGAAACTTCAGATCTGACGTTTGGATCTGGAGTAAAGAGTTTGCTTGTGGTTTGGACAACTGCTGGGATTACCGCAGAGCAGCATGGAAGCACAATTTTCTTTAATGATGAGACCAGTGTTCCACGATTAAAACTGCTTTTAGCATGTGCTGACCCCATGTCGTGAAGGGGGATTTTTTTTAATGTTTTTTTTTTTTTAATGATGAGACAATAGCAATTTCTTTGGGTTGTTTCATAACAACGTGTATAAAATAAGTCAGTTTGCTTAGAGCATCTAAACAAAATAAAATGGAACTGTGCTCACATGAAGTGAAGCAAAATTTACTTTATTAGGCCTGTCATCATAACAATTTTTGCTTGATGATGAATTGTCCCAACAATTATTGAGACCATTTTCAAGTAATACATTGATAATATAGTGCAAGTTTCCCCCCTCAAAGACCAATAAACACTCCACACTGGAACTGGGAGATATTTTAAATATCCAAAATAAAACACAGCAACCAAAAACAAATAAAACGGAAATAAAAATCCACTTACAATTGAAGCCGTAAATAAAATGAATTATGATGTCCATAAACAAAATTGCCCTTCAAAAAATATTAACCATCACCCTGGAAATTATGAAGGTCATTTTAATTGATCGATTGCTAATTACAACAGGCTTACTTCTGGACAGAGCTGCTGCACTTGAACAGACTGCTTTACTACTAAATAAACCAACCAATTTATGATCTGTCTTCATTACTTTAGTACTAAAGTACTTAAAGTACTTTAGTACTAAAGTAATGAAGAATCACTTAAATAAGTGATTCTTATTTATTTATTTTTTAATTTTGTATTTTTTTGTTGTCTGTACAAGGAGGGACAAAGCTTCTCTAGTAAACTGAATTTATTACATAATAAATACATGGTGTAGCCTTCCATTTTAAACAATTTTCTGACTTGGAAGAAAGGTACATTTTCATAAATCAGTTGATGGCCGCTTCAGAGAATGTTTTCCAGTTGGCACAGTTTTTTGTTCCCTAACTCTTCAGTGGCATTCTGCTTTCATCCATTATTTTTAAACTATAATTAATACATAGAGTAGCTACCTAGCATAAAGTGGTTTTAGACCAGGACCACTAGTGCTAATAATCAGTTGATATTTTGATTACAATAGCTGTACAGTATCTCAGAGTTCTCATAATTGCACTTAGACTTTTGAGGTCATCCTAACTTTGTCCTACTAAATGTTGTTTTGTGTTATCCAGCTCTGCAGTGACAGTTGATTCAAAGATGCACATCAAGCCCTTCTCTCCATATTTTACTCACCATCTCCATTGCTGTTGTTGGGCAATGTCACTGGCAGTTATGTGGTGAGTTGGTTATCGACCAGCTGTTATGCAATCGTAGCGTTCCCGAGGTGGTGTGAAAGCCAACACGAAGATCACTACTGCAGTTCCAGAAGGCCTGGCCGACCTTAAAGCCATTTGGTTTTTATGCTTGAACTTACTAGAACTAATGTGTACAACTTAGAAAGAATGTCAGATTTTGTAACCTGCAGGTTTATGTATTGTTTCCCTTAAGGTTAACTTCAAGTCTTGCTGTAGCCATTAGAAAACCTTCAGGGAATGTGCCCTGCAGCTTTCCTGAAGGTTATCCCCACATTTCACTGCGTAACCATATGGGAACCTTCAGGGAATGTTCCCTAAAGGACCCATGAAATTTCTCAGTGAATTTAACAACTACTGTAACTTTTCACAGTTTTAATCTAAAAAGTTTCACTTCAAACACCAATAGAACAGTATTAAGATTTGTACTGCATCTCATTTTTATAAGAAAGGATTGGTATAAAGTTTGAGTATAATGAGTCCCCTTGCTTATGAGTTTACAGAGAGCATTCATCTTTCAGGATGAGGCTTTCCATTCTTAATTGTTTCAAAACACTCGAGAACCGGGGAGTTAATTTAAAATCCCTGCCGTCTCCTCAGCTTCACGCATTCATTTGGGTTGGAGGGATTAGGGTGGCATCCATCTTCTAATTACACACTCATCATGCCTTCAACTTGAAGATTAAATTGAGACGGAGCAGTCCCAGTGACACAGAGGATGCATCAGAGCGCTGCAGATGGTTGATGAAGAAACCCAGCGCTGGTTAAGTGTTAAAGTAGGTGCAATTGAAAGAGTCAAACAGACGTCTGGGATTGAAGCTCCTCTCTGCACCCTGTTCTAGATGGGTGTTGGGTTCTTTATCTTTAACTATCACCACATTGTCACAGAAATAAAGGAGGCAGCTGATTGGGGAATCTTTTGGCTTTAGATAAGAGAAAACCCTTATCTGTGTTTTCCCCTTGCGGGGGAAAAATACTTTAAACACCAATAGCACAAATCTAACACTGCTGTGACTTCTGACACACTTAATAATCTGATCTAACTGATGACATACTTTAATTGTCAGATTACTACGCTGATAACTTCTAAACTTTGCATGTAGTTGTAAGATGATAAGTTGAGATTTAAAACTTTAGGTGAGATGAATAAATAAAAGTTTTTAGGAGCCAACAGATGTTGCTTTGCTGCTTTCGCTTAAATAATAAAGCCATAAAGAGACTTGTGAAGGTGTCTGAGGGTGTGTTCGCACCCCTTTGCTTGTTTCCCACTTGGGGGAGGGAGCAAAGGCATTGTTTCATCCTGTTGTCGCTCAAGGCTAATTGCACCCGTAGAATCTATTGCTCTTAAAGGCAATTCGAGTTTATGTGGGATTTACTGCTGAGGATCTGTGGGGGAACACAAGGTGAGGAGAGTTCAACCTTCACTCAGGGTGAAGGAGAATGAAGAAAACGGTACTGAAGTTCACCATCCTTGAAGATCAGTGTAATTATGTTCAGGTATAGTACTGTAATAAACTAGTTTACTCCCTTATACACTTTAATCTGTGTTTGCCAGGCTTATGTTTCACATTATCAAATAGGTGACTAAAGCCAAGATTACTTGGATTGTGTTGTTTCCCCTCAATATATATTTTTGTACAAACATTAGGGATGCACTGATACTAAAATTCAGGCTGATACATTTGACACCTTGGAAAAGAAAGCGACCATACAGCTTAGAAAACATAATTTCTTCGTCAAATATTACATTTATTTGATCTGAAAAATTGAAGAGTGAGAAAATGAAACAACATTTTTGTCACATTTTGCCACATAATCAGTTATTTTTTACTTTCATAGAGCTAATCCATTTCTATTCGGACAGACACAGAACCTGCAGTGACGCAAACTTTCATGTAGAGCATACCTCAACACACTTTACTCCCAGATAAGTGTCTTGCTGAAGTTGTACATATAATAAGCCTTTATGTGAGTCAAGGCGGGATGGAGATAAATGGTCAGATGTAATGCTGCACAAAGGTAAACAGCTGGGATTAAAGGCAAGGCACTTAAAACCAGTCTGTACAGCATAATGCTGCAAAATGACCTGGGCGTCTTACATAAGCTGAGGAAAGCACACCTCACCTTTGACATATTTCTGATAACAATTGTAACCTGAGCAGCATATTTTTTTTTTAAATGGGAATTCTAAACAAGCTGTTACTGTATAGAGGAAGTGAAAGTGATTGTTTTGAAGATGGAGCACTTTAAGGCTTTCAGGACAAGAACAAGTAAAACTCCCGCAGTTTTCTCAGAGATGGTGCCGGGTTGGAGACGGAGTGATAATTGCAACCTGGTCTCGCATGATTCAGTTAAAAGCTGTAATGTAAATTCTCATGCAGCTGTGGTGCAGTAGAACTGCAGAACGTGTCTTTTAACGTGCTTTCTCTGCTGTATCACCACCCAGTTGATCTCAAAGTGACTGTGCGTATTTACATGTTACACAACTTGCAACCTCTGTTCAGTTTTATACTTGTGTGTGTGTTTGTGTGCGTGTGCAAAGGTTACTTAAGATGAGCTGCATGAGTGAGCTCTTTTCAGATGGACAGAGCACCAGCAGGAGAAGGGTATGATAATTTCCTTAAGTTATTTTTAGTATTTTAAAATTTCTATCTGTATAATGTTACGTTTGTGCTCTCAGCAGCATCAGATTTTTTTTTTCTAGTTTTATGACAAAAGAAAAATTTACAATACCCTTAAATCTGAACTTTGTGCTCATTGTAGTGCGTAGACCTAGAATATGCAAATAAAGTCATTGATCAGAGAAATTAGGTCGCACCCGTTGGGAAGCGGATAAGGAGAAAAAATGGGACTCCTCCAAATAAAAGCTTTAAATCTTTTTTCTTTTTTTTTTTTTTAACTTTACAAAAGCCTTCCAAATGCCATTTGTAGAACCAACAGAAAATCTAAAGATACTGAACAGAGTGCTTTGTTTGACCAAGCTGTTCTGATCCAATCGAAGCTGTGCAGTTTTTTTTTTTTTCTTTTTAATGAGTGATGATCTTTCTGGTATGAATAGCAGTAAAGCCATTTTCAAAAGGTCCCACATGTAATGTATTCTCTATCTTTCTCTTCAGAGCATCATGGCATTGCTCTTGTGGGTCGGCCTGTCGCTGCTGCTGGCTGTCCAGTCCGGTGCGGTCAGAAACTGCCATCCCAGCTGTCACTGTGAGGTGGAAAGCTTCGGGCTCTTTGACAGCTTCAGCCTGACCAGGGTGGACTGCAGAGCCATGGGCCCCAGTGTCACCATGCCTATTGCCATCCCTTTGGACACCGCCCACCTGGACCTGTCGTCCAATGATATGGGCCCTCTCAGCGATGCCATGTTAGCCGGTCCAGGCTATACCACACTAATTAGTCTGGACCTCAGCAGCAACAAAATTACTAAGGTTAGTGGGTCGATAAACTTCAAATTGTATTTGTACTAGTTACCCTATATAGCATATTTTTTGTTAAGTGTTCGAAATTTTAAAAACAAATTCTTAATAATAGCAGCCTTTATTGATCAATTAATTAGAAATTTTTAATTTTTTCTGTAATTTCCAAAATTACAGAAAAAAAGACATGGCTTTTCTTGCTAAATATTTTTGTAGAGTATTAAAAAAACTGAGAATGGATGCATGCAGTCCCATGCATTGTATATGTACCCCAGGCAACACAGTTTTACACGATTTGCATCATGGCAATTTTTAGTAGATAATGCAAGTGTTTTAAACTTTTCACATGGACTTTAAGAGAGACTGTGTTGACTGCTGCAGCTCTCTGTGTGAGTCATGTGACTTGCTCCGTGTGCTGCAAAAAGACAGCAGTCTATGTGAGTAGAGCAGCTGAAATGACAACCATTAAATTTGATTATGTTTAAAGAAGCAGTTTAATAAAGGAGGAGTTTTAATTACACTCAAATGAAATTGCATCAAGAAATATTACGAGGAGATTTATCAGTAAGAGAGCAAACATGCTAGTCTTGGCATATTTAACAGTCAGAGGTCATTTTAAGTATCATCTTTTTGGCTTTCTGTTAGCTGCAGTTCTTGAGTCTGGTTCTGCTGGAGATTTCCTCCTGTAGGAAGGAATTGGTTGCTCTTCATTGTTGCTACATGCTTGCTGGTGGAAAAAACTCAATTCATCCTGATGGGCTTCCTTAGATCACGTTTTACCTACTGGGTTTAAATGATCAGTACATGATATGATCTATGACCACTTTGTACTCTTGTATAAGTAAGATAAAATTGGACTGCATGTTATTGGATCTGACTGTTGGATTGTAATTAAGTGAACAGGGCATATTTGGATTGATTCAATACAAGTGATCCATTTGTGACATGAAATGACTTGATATTGCATGCTATGAAGACTGTTGTTATGACAGACATTCATGAGTAAATTTTAGTTGCCCATCTTATTTAATGGAGATTTTCTGCCACCTTGCAGTCGTTTTAAACATCTTGTCACCTCTACATGCTATTATGAAAAAGACAGTTGTTAATTATTAAATAACCTACTTGAATCCTACTTGAAATTGTAAATAGCAATTTAGATATTTAAAAAAGTCATCCATCTTGATCAAAAACATAATATAAAAAATATTTAGATGCAGGAACATTAAAAAAACAATTTTCTCCATGTTTATATATGTCCTCTTGTCTGATTCTCAGGTTAGCCCCAGTGCATTGTCCAAACTGCGATACCTGGAGAGTTTGGATCTGAGCTACAACAATCTGGAGAGTCTGTCTCCAAGCTGTTTCTCGGGCCTCCCTCTGGCCGAGGTGGACCTCAGTCACAACAGTTTCCAGGAGTTTGACATGGCTGTGTTCGCTGCTAAAGTGAATGGTGAACCTGTCACTGTGGATCTGTCCCATAACAAGCTTGTGTCAGTTTCTGCCACCTTGCATGGAAGAGCTTTACATATTCAGAGTGTCAATTTGTCAGTGAACCAGCTGGTTAACGTACCAAACATGGCGGGACTTCCACTGAGGTACCTAAATCTGGATGCTAACCCAATCCTGAAAATTAAGAAGGGAGCTTTTGCTCAGCTGAAAGATTTGGTTTATTTATCCCTCAGTGGCCTCGGTGGACTTCATGAAATTGAGCCGCATAGCTTCAGCGATCTCCAGAACCTGCAAGTTCTGGACCTCTCGAATAACTCGAAACTTAAGAATCTGAGCCCTGCAGTCTTCTGTGGACTAGACTCTCTGCAGGAGCTCAACTTGTCTGGCTCTGGTGTGACTTCTTTGCCAACCAACATGTTGAGCCACCTTCCCAGCATCAAGAGTATCACTCTTGGACAAAGCGTCCACTGCTGGAGGACGCAAAAACAGGGACAGTTCCACCGACAGATGGGGCAGGTCCAGCATAACGAAGAGCTGCACTGTAACGTAGACGGCATTGTGTCGTGAGACCAGGCCTCAGGAAATGAACCACTCCTAACATTCACGACTGCAGGGCTGAGGCTTGTCGTCTGCTCTGATATGTAAAACAGTCTGAGTCGCTCTCGCTCTGTTAAATCTGTTCTCTGGTGATACTGTGGATCACACCTTTTCATTTTTATGAAGCTTTGAGAAATCTTTGGACACTTTATAATACTTGCTGTATTTTTAGCAGCACAGGCCAACTTCTTCATTGTTTTAATATATTTCACTTTTTAAACTCATAAAAAAAACGCATCATGAATTAATTTTAATATGTTGGAGTCATATCTTTCACTTCATTGGATTGTCTTAAGATCTACTTGAACGTAGTCCTAATGTGGTATTTTCTTTAATATTGTACTTATACAAGTCAGAAATTGACGAACATTGTTACCATTTAACCACTAAAAGTACTCAAGACTTTGAATGTCTGGATGAGGGGACAATTTTTAACTTGATTAGATTTTTTTTTTCTTATCAATTTGTTTTTTTTTTATATTGTGTTCAATTTATCTCAGATTTCAGAACTTGAATTATTTTTTTCACAATAATGGAGCTAGCCTTTTCTAGCTAGAAGCAAAAACCAGGCTGCCCACTTTAAGCAATATAAAACATACAAACACATTTCTCTTTATTTTATGCATTTCAAAATAAAATGAACATACAATTGCAAATTGTACAGTGGTGGTAAAATATAAAACATCCACAGTGCAAATGATTTTATTCCACCTCCTATCAAAATATTTTCTGTTCCAAACAACTATTTTGGGTCTGAATTTGTTATTTACAACTCAGAAATTCTGACATCCGAGGACAAATTGAATGCATCGTTTGACTAAAGTTGCCACCAGACCTTAATATCTTATCTTGGTTTAGCTTAGCAGTTATTTAGCTTAATCATTCTGGTTGGTTTAATCTACAATAGGTAATGTCTGAAAGGTTGTCCACTTTTCGTGTTACCCTGTTGAACCTTAAAGCAGCAATGCACAGTGTTTTGGGATATCTATTGTATAAAAATCTTTAAAATTAAGAAAACAAAAATCAGATGTAGTGTTATAGCCTTACAACAAACAATGTTGTTCCTTGTTGACCTGGGCAAATTGACAGGATCTGACTTAAAGGAAGTTCAGTCTGGTGTTACTCCGCTGGTTGAGGTTGATGTTTTGGTTCCTAATTATTCCAGTTTACATGCTGAACTGTTAAACTACTAAACACCACATTGTAAGTCACTTTGGATGAAAACCTTCCTCTAAATGAATGTATGGTATTGAATGTAATATAACAGTTGCGGTCTATTTCAAGACTTTAACTAACCTCTGCAGTAGGCATGGTCAGCTTAAGATCAGTTTCATAACCTCGTGTTAAGCTACTACAAAGCCTGGCATTTATGCAAAAAATTCAAATACAGATATTATAAATGATAACTTGAACATTAATTTAACAAACACCCTCCAAGTTTGTAATTTTCAAATGCTGACTTTGCAGGAGAAAATTTGGAACCGGCCCATGAATATATTGCATCCTAAATGAATCCATTATTTGTCAATGAGTCAATTGAATTAATCAAATGACTCATTTTGATTTATGATTTATTTTAACTTTGACCAAAATTCAGAATTCAGTCAAATCTCAAAGTTGAAGAGGTTACATGCTCAAGACTCTGGCACTTTCTCAAACATCCGGTTAAAATGTATTATTTCAAATTTAGTGTTTTTTTTTTTTTACTTGTAACACTTTCCACTGTGTAGCATTTATTTCAAGCCTCACAAGCTGCCTTTTGTATTATTTTTTCCAACAAATATTAAACTCTAGATTTAATGACCAAAACTTATTTTTTTGCTTAGTTTGAAGTCCATTTTCTCTGACCTCTGATTACTTTGCCACTGTAATGGCACAGCAGCCTGCGTAAACAAGGTCAGAACTAGTTGACAAAAAGTAAGCCTCGATTTACTCTCATGTTCTTTAGTGACCAAGTTTAGTTTCCCTGGACAAATTGGACCACTGACAGTTTATCACAAATTCTGTATACCAAGTTATTTTTGTTTTGTGTGATGATGCACATTTGTAAACTTGCCTTAATATTCCTTTTGCATTAAGAGGAGAATCAGTTTCAAGAAAGATTGTGGGAACTGGAATTTGCCTTCAAACTGTCCACTTTAATGAAAACGTTTTAGTTTAAAGATCTATATTTGTATGAATGTAAGTAAACTGTACATAACCATATTAATATGTAAATCTTATGTGTAATAAATTGACCCCTCTCACACTGTGAACTCAGTGACTGGTCTGATTCATATCCTGTGTGATGTCCAAACAGGCAACAATTGCTAGGCGATTTGACTGCGAAAAAAGAAATAAACACAAGTTAAAAATAAAACCACGGTTTGGAAAATGTGCTACTGTCTGCACTGAAGTCAACATTTTCCTGGAGTTCCAACACTGTATGATTTTGTGTCTGGAGAGGTTTGAATCACACTAGGGTGTGGTTCTCTCCCAGACACGACAAGGAACTTGGACCTCAGCAGAGTTGTTTTAAATGGTGCTTAAAGAAAGGCTGTAAAGTGAAATGAGACTTGAGGTTTTGCTGGTTATCATACTGGACTAAGCACGGTGTTTTAATAAAGTGATTAGGAAGAAGAGAAAAGGGAAAAATGGGGGAGAAGGTAGATATCAGACACAGCAGCTAACAGGCATCCTGTGTGTCCTTGGCAATGACTACAGTCTTTGCTTTGTAAGGATGAGGAAATTTCTTCTTTTTCTTTCTTTTAAGCTCTCAGAATCTGCCAAAACGACAAGCTGATCCAAGGGGTTTTCAGCTATTGCATCAGAATGTAGGTGTACTTGTTGCATCCTGAAATTGGGGTTTCAGATTTTAAGCGTGTTGACAAAGCCTGAATCCTTGCAGTTTTCTTCAGTATGTTTGACTGTAACTGACTACATTTCCCCTGTAGTCAGTGTAGGGCTGACAGAACGAACGCCTTCAGAATACTGATCCTATGCACAAAACACTTCCAGATGCTTGTGATATTTTTTTATTTATTTTTTTTTATGTCTCTTTTGTAAAACAATAGCTTGTTTAAAGCCAAGAAACCAGAACCCAGCTGGCTTTAGTACAGGATTGGTTTCTTTTAACACTAAAAGGCTAAAGCTACATAGAGACCCTTTTTAGTTTACACTTACCCCATTTTTTTCAAGGCAGTTGTTCCTGCCTTGAAAAAACTGTAAACTGCTCGCTATTGGTTCATGTATTCTTTGCACATTTCATTCAACATTTCTTGTTCGAGCTTCAACCTCTCCTGACTCAAACTAATAGCATATAACGGACACTGACATAATTTTTCTTCTTTCAAATCATTAAATAATGCTCATTGTAATAAAATGATTGTCAGGCAAACAATTAATAAACTGTTTGGCCATGAAAATAAGAAAGGAAGTTTTGGTTCCTTTCTTTTTTTCAGCATAACCAATGCTATTTCTAGAAATGTCATTGGTGAGCGATCTCAATGTCCTGACGTCAAGTAAATAACTTGGAGAATCTATGCATGACAGCTCAGTTGTTTTCTCTCTCCTGAGTACCTCAGCAATGCAGCTGATCTCACCCAAATCAGAACTAAATATCACAAAAATCAGCTAAACTTATTACATGTAATACTATGTTTAGATCATCTGTTGCAATGATTTGTATTTTGGAGATGTTTTGGCTCTCACTAATTACCAGCTGATGCATTTTCATAATATGAAAATGTAAATAACAATACAATGAAAAATGAAAATATAATACAATTCTTGACATAAAGCCATTCTATTTTCAGGATCTGAGCAGAATTTGGTCTGGGGACTCACTTCCTTTTAAGCATATAATCCAGTAACCACCCCAAACAGTGATGCAATGCAAAACACAAACTGCAGGGGAGGTTTGGATGAAGATGCCAAATATTTCATGATGTCATCGTCAACAAACGCTTTAGTTGTTGCCTCCTAAAACTTAACTGACATTAACACTGATCCTGTTCATCATAAGATTTTCACCTCCCTATTTTTGCTCAGTTCCTTTTTTCTATTTTTTTCAAATTTGCCATTCACACCTTTGCTCTGCATGGACCAGTTTAGGCAACACAAATCCAGCAAGCTTTTGGATTGGATTGCCACAGGTAGAAGTCTTTCATGAAGGCTTTCTAGGTTTACACAACCATTACATGGCTGAACTAACAAAAAATAAATTAGACAAGGAAATATTTCAAAATCATACTGGAGAATAAGTTCAACAATATTTTTGCTTCCATATGTTACGATGCATTGCAGAAAACCTGTTTTATTTATTTTTTTACAGTTGTTTCATGTACAGTCTCCCTGTTTATTGAATTGTTCAAATTCAGTGAAGATGCCAAATGGCTGAAAGCATTCAAACTGCATACATATATAATTTAATAGCACAATTTGAAAAGCTCATATGCAAAGTAAGATATTGCAAACCTGAAATCAAAGCCAATATTAGCTGCTGTGAAAAATGCTTGACATTGTCATTTACTTATTAAATGTGCTCAAATTAAGTAATTATGCATGTTTTCAGTTTTGCAAGGAACTCTTACTTAAAGTTTGCTGCTATTATAGATGTCAGTCTATTCATCAAAGCAAAGTAAGCAGATCAAAAACAAGAGAAGTAAATATGTTCCTTATAGATTCCCACAGAAACTTTGGCTTCAGAAGTTGCTAACTGACAGGGTTGTTTAATTAGACTGTTTGCCACACTGCTGCCAGCAGATTTCCCACGGGAGTAAAGGAACAGACATATCCAAACATGTTCTGTCACCTTGTCTTTCTTTTGTTTTCTCAAGGATCAAAGATTTTGCAACATAAAACTTGTCTTGACAGACAAAATCTGACATCCAGAAATTGATTCATTCATAAGATGTTATAAAAACATTATGAATGAGAGGTTGATTTCCTGACAGATTGCATATTTATTGGGTTTTATGTGACAGACAAACTTAAAGTAGAAGATAACTGTGAAGAGCAAGGACACTGAAACACAGTTTAAATTATATATATATATATATATATATATATAAAAAAATAAAATTCCCTTCTCACCCACCGCGGGTGGTTCTTATCCTCTGAGCTCGGGTCCTCTACCCAGACCTGGGAGCTTGAGGGTCCTGCGCAGTATCTTGGCTGTGCCAAGGACTGCACATTTCTGGACTGAGATGTCTGATGTTGTTCCTGGGATCTGTTGTAGCCACTGCTCCAGTTTGGGGGTTACTGCCCCGAGGGCCCGATGACCACAGGCACCACTGTGGTCTTCACCTTCCAGGCCCTCTCCAGTTCTTCCCTGAGGCCCTGGTATTTCTCCAGTTTCTCGTGCTCCTTTTTCCTGATGTTGCAATCACTTGGTATTGCTACATCTACCACAACGGCTTTCCTCTGATGTTTATCCACTACGACAATGTCTGGTTGGTTCGCCATTACCATTTTGTCTGTCTGGATCTGGAAGTCCCACAGGATCTTAGCTCTGGTGTTCTCCACCACCTTTGGGGTGTTTCCCACTTTGATCTCAGGGTTTCCAGTCCATATTCTGCACAGATGTTTCTGTACACTATGCCTGCCACTTGGTTATGTCGCTCCATGTACGCTTTCCCTGCCAGTATCTTGCACCCTGCTGTTATGTGCTGGACTGTCTCAGGGGCCTCCTTGCACAACCTACACCTTGGGTCTTGTCTGGTGTGGTAGATCTGGGCCTCTATTGCTCTGGTGTTTAGGGCCTGTTCCTGGGCGGCCAGGATGAGGGCCTCTGTGCTGTCCTTGAGTCCAGCTTTTTCCAGCCATTGGTAGGATTTACTGATATCAGCCACTTGGGTTATTTGCTGGTGGTACATCCCATGTAGGGGTTTGTCCTCCCATGATGGTATCTCTGGCACCTCAACCTCCGTTCCCTGTTGTCTGAGACATTCACTGAGCACATTGTCTGTTGAGGCTTTGTCCCTGATGTATTTATGGATCTTAGTTGTTTCGTCCTGGACAGTGGTTCTCACACTCACTAGTCCTCTGCCTCCGTCCTTGCGGCTCGTGTACAGTCTCAGGGTGCTGGATTTGGGATGGAACCCTCCATGCATGGTTAGTAGCTTTCTAGTCTTAATATCTGTGGCTTTTATCTCCTCCTTTGGCCAGCTGATTATTCCAGCAGGGTATCTGATTACTGGCAGGGCATAGCTGTTGATTACTGGCAGGGCATAGGCATATGCCTATGCCCAGGGCATATATATATATATATATATATATATATATATATATATATATATATATATATATATATATATATATATATATATATATAACTATTCACACATTCTAACATTATTAAACAAACAGCATGAAGAACAAGAAATAATGTTATAGATTAGTTTAAAGTAGGGTTATGTTACAAAACAATATATCTGGCCTTGATGATCTCGCAGAACTGCAGTCCTACCAAAACACGGCCAACTGTATTGGGCAAGGAAATCATAAAAAAGCAAAGCAGACAAGAAGCAAATCAAGAGGAGCTGCAAAGATCCACAACTCAATCTGTCAACACACAATTATTACTTGTGCACTCCATAGATATGGAACATTAGAAAAGAGTGACAAAAATAAAAACAATGTTGAAAAAAAACCTCCAAGAAATCCCGTTTGCTTTTTGCCACAAGCCAGAACAGATCAAATGAAGCCAACATGAAAGTTGTATTTATTTATGCAAAATACTGTGAGTTGTGGAAAATTAACAAATCAGCCTGAACATATGATGATCATCATAAGCATGGTTCACCTTCCAGCAGGATTATGGAGCAGATCTACAAAATAATAGCTCAAATGAAGCATAATCATGTGGTAGGATAGCCTAGCCAAAGTTCTGACCTAAATTCAAGAGAAAACAATGCAACAAGAAAGTTGTTCCAAATGTGTAAAACTGGTAGACCTCTGTAATGACAAGAAGTGTATTTTACTTGTTTTGAGGGGGTTCAATGCAAAAGCATTTGAGCATGCATTTGCTGCGGTGCAGAAGATGTGAGCACAGAACTTGAAAGGTAATGGATTGCTTTTATGTGGTGACCCAGTAATAAGATGTGATTAATTCAAAGTTAAGGGAAGCTTTGGGTTGTGTATAATTTGTCCAGACAAGTAGAACCAGGGTGTCTTTATTAAACACATTGTTCCTGCTTGAGCAGATATCAGACAAATGTGTTGTGACTTCCTGGAAAAATCCTCCGAAGAAGCTAATTCATTTTCTTTTAACCCT